AGTGCTCTTACACCGCCCGGGGGTCTACGCCAGCATCTCTCGTTGTCAGTGCACATCGCAGCCCGGAAAAAAAGACCCTTCAAAAGAGGTGGGGTCCATGTTCTGGATGAAGTCCAGCCGTGCGTGGCCATCGCGCTGCATCACGAAGACTGCCAGGAAGCTGTGGGGCTCCTGGCCAAAAGACTCTCTTGCTCTCCCCGCAGCCCTGCAGAGGTTCCCTTCAAGGCTTCCAAGATGTCTTCTTCTTTTTCAGGCCCAGGCCCGAACTTATCCAAATGTCCCGTCCCATCATGCCGGTCTCCTTGATGCAGTTGTTCAGCATCTTGATGACCACCGCCACCTCTTAGAGGCTTTTGTGGTTTCAACTTTCCTATGTGGTTTCTATGTGGTTTGTATATGCTCTCTATGGCTTCATGGTCTCCATGGTTTCTAGGGTGTCTATATTGTTTCTACGGTTTCATGCCATGTATACATACATATACACATACACTAGTAGCTGTCTTGATCTCATGGGGCAACCGGAAGCCGCCCCTCCCCAAAGCAAAAGGGGCGTCAAAACGAATGAAATGAAGACACCACTGCTCCACACCTGAAGTGTCTGCTTCTTTCGGGCAAGACGCATAGTCAGGGAAGTCGATCATCAGCTTCTGCTGCTCCTTGCTCTATGCGAGAGTTGGCGTCAAGTACAGGCTATGCTCTGCAACATCCTGCAAAAGTCTTGTGGCAGATGGCACCCTGTAGACATGTGCGTTGAGGATTCACGGCGGGGCTTGGGTGAACAACGTTGCGCGGGCTAACATCATCCTGAGGCTGCTGCAGGGTTCTGAATCCTTCCTGAAAAAATTGAGATTTTGGATTCCTTTAAATTCCTAAACAAACAAAGAGCAAAGAAGCACCACGCCAAATAGCGCATCAAGCTCCTGCGTGCATATGATGTATTTATGCGTAAACTTCTTTAATTGAATACCTGTACATATATATATATATGCATATTTACGGATCTTGTTATTCGCACACAAGCTGAGCTCCTGCATAGCTCTGAAGCTGTGCTCGTCCACGCTATGGACGAAGTGAAAGAAGAGGTCGTTTTCGCTGGTCAGTTCAATCCTGCAAAAAGGTTAAGATCTGCAGTGCCGAATGCGACAAAAGCAAGCGCCTGTGTTTTTGGGGGTGCACATTAAGCATCTCGGTTGAGCCGAATCTCGGAGTACCTACTGGGGTGCTTTCTGAACACAGCCCAAATCCACCTCCTAACTCTACAGCGAACAGTTTCCGGGAAATGCCTTCGACTTTTGAATCAAGGGGCTCAGGGTGAACCGGACTCTTGACATTCTTCCGGAGCTTGGCTCGTTCTGGTGATTCTAGTGCTCAGGGTCTTCTGCATCTGGTATTGACAACCACTGCCGTGCTCCCATCCATGGCTCCTGCAATGCTGCGGACTGAGTTCCTCCCCAAGCGCGAGGATCTTACAGCGAATGGCCTGTAGGCACGCAACGGTGGGTTTCCGACTTCCGGGAGTATAGATCGGGGATTGGTGGGCCCTTGTTTTCAGTGCTTACGTTGTGTTTTCCCCGGTGGTGTCATCTTCCACCGCTGAAGGGAGAACTTCCAAGTCCCAACCGCTTCAAGCAGCTCCAACATGTTCCAACAGTGGGCTGGTCAGAGCATCACAAGAGCAACCCTAAACCCTAAACCCTAAACCCTAACACCTGGCATCATGACAAATGACACAGGGGGGCATGAAGAGCCCGGGGTCGGAGAACCTGCATTCGGTGTCCCAAGTAATCTCTGGCCAGCAGGGACGTCTTGCCCGTGTTGTGTGCATCCCACAGGCCTCCAGGGTGCCCACCTCCTGACAAGTTTCGCGCCAAAACGTTACAACAACTCACAAGATGCTTCGGAGGTCCGGAGAAGAAACGGTCTTGCACACTCTCAGTCTTGTTTTGTTCGTTCTTTCTGTCTTTCCTTCTGGTAGTTCCTTCTGTATTTCTTTCCTTACCTTCCTTCTTCTGTATTTAATACCTTTGCCCTCTTTTTCTATACTTTACTTCATTATTTACTTCATTCTTTACATCAGTCTTTACTTCTTTGTTTCTTTTCGTGACTTGTTGTCACTTTCTCGTGTGCTGTCTTGTATTGAACCTGCCAGCCACCCTAAGACTCCGCTGTGGCCGCGGGGCCAGGGGTGCACTCGGTGCACTCCATTCCATGAAGCCAGGTGTGCACGAAGTTTGATTTTCCCCTGTCCGCAGACGCCTATCCGCACACGGAACTCTAAAGATGATCAATGAGTAAATGCACTTGCTTGTCGGCTGAGTGCCCCGTGCACGCGCTTGTAACCGGCGCACCCGGCACGTGGAAGACGGGGGGCAGGTACTCATGCCCCACAAAAAAAATGTAGGGCCCCCAAAGGGGCCGAACGCCTTCGTTCAGAGAGAGAGAGAGAGAGCGAGGAAATACAGATAAGAGATAAATAGAAAAAGTGGCGTTAGTCGTTCCGTTCCGTTCTTTTTCTCCGTCACCGTCGCCGTCTTGGCCTGAGCGGATCTTCTGGACAGGGTGGCCCTCCCTGCGAACTCATAGCATTTGTGCAATCTCGCAGGGCGTGTTGTCAGCGGTTCGCCCTTCGTCGCCAAGACCTGCTGGGGTTGCTGTGCAGCGAAGAGGTGCTTGGAAGACTGGATGATTCCGAGTCACTGACTGATCTTGCTAATGGGCATGTCTTCCTTTTCTGCCTCTCTCTCTCTCTCTCTTCTTCTTCTTCTTCTTCTTCTCCTTCTCCTTCTTCTTCTTCTTATTCTTCTTTTTCTTCTTCTTCTGCTTCTGCTTCTTCTTCGTCTTCTGCAGGCATCGGGGACAGGGCAGAGGTCCCTCTCTCTGTGTCTCGGCACTTCAGAATCACGTTGGGCACTCGACTTTGGCCTGTCCTGCGGGCCCGAATCCGCATCCTGCAAGTCTGTTTGTCATCAGGTGTTTGGGAAGGGTTGGGAGAGGTTCCGATAGGAGGGATGGAGGAAGAGCTTGAATCTTACGGACTTGTCACGGGAACAGGCTATGATGAGCTGTTGGTCTGGAACGAGCAAACACATGCGAGAACTGGTTTAAGAAGGAGCGAGGAGCAGATAGCAGCGGAAAAGGATCGAAGATCTGGCTAGACTGCGCACGGCAAGAGCCAAACCGTGCACGGGACTGTGGCAGGAGTGTGGTTTGGCACGAGGATGCAACCACGGCATACTTGCGATGTAAACGAACACCAAAGTTGTGGGTGAGCTTGGAAAGCTCACAGAGAAAAACTAAAGGCCAGGAGCAAGCCTGCACTCGCAGCTCGAACGGCACTTCGCGGTCGTAGACCACGCGGTGCCCTCATGGCAAGAGGTGGGTCAAACGATGGATTTGGTTCGGAGTCTTTCGCAGGTCTGGGTTCTTGTATCTGTGAGGGCTGGGGCCTGAGAATCTGATTGACTTCCCTGGACAGAGCGCTAACGAGCTTCTAGAAAAATACATAAATAGGCGTCATTATCCTGTCTAGCTGGCAGAATCTAGCGGAGATTGAATCTCTCTGCAGACATCACAACAAGGCGCGCTGGAACAAAGCGCGGCTGCGCTCCCAAAAGCTACCCTGTAACGGGAAAGGATGGAGCCTTCGGACAAGGATGGGTCCATCTCTTCGAGCGCAGTGAAGTCGAACACGTCCAGCATGCCTCAAGGTGTGCAATTTGAGGAGAAAGTCTCGGGTTGATGGGCGGTTTCGGGGGGGCTTCGCCATCCAAGGTTTGAGGTGCGCAGGACTGTACGGTAAAGGATTCTGACGTTTGAGTTGTTTGACCTACTGCAAACCTATCGAGATTCCAAGCCGGTATTCAACGCGATATTCGACTGTCGGCAGGCTCTTCTTAGCTCGGTCCACCACTGGCATTGCTGTGCACGGACTTCTCCTGCGCACGAAACACCCCTCGTCTCAACAAGAACGGGTGCGCGCGCAAAGGCGGAGGAGATGCGACCCAACGAGCCTGCGAGATCCTATGACAACGACAAGCAACGCCCTGCTCTTAGTTCCAGCCGGTCCGGCTGGTTTCTAGCGGGCCCCTAGCTGCCCTAACTTCGTGCCCACCTCAAAGTTGCCACTCGCACGCAGCGAAGCCATGGCAAGTATTGACGTCAACTTTAAGCCCTACAACTACAACTCTTCAACCACAGTAAACACGTGTAAGAACATGCAAGCACATTCCAGCACAGTCCGAAACACCGAAGTACCCCACGTTGGTGCCTCGCTCGGGGGATCTGGGAAGCCAGGTTGTTTGGTTCGCGAAAGCTGGGTCCACAGCAACGGAGGTACGAGGTTCCTACTATCATGCTTCCTGATGCTTTCCACCGGAAACACTGGCCTCTGCTCATCTCCACTCTAGCAGACTCTAGCACACCTAAGAACTTGAGACTGCGTCTCCCTATCTTGTGTACGACGCATGACTGGAGCCAGGCATTTCGCGCGACACCGCAGCTGGAGCAGAAGCCATAAGACACATTGGTGCTCGCCTAGAAACACCAGCCGCCCTCTTTGTCTCAACCCTCCAGGTGAACGTGGTCTGAGTCCTGCATGTTTCTTGGCTCGACACCCTGTGCGCAAGAGAAGAAAGTGAGTGGTCTCTGGCCGAAACAAAATACATGAGGATGTGCCCCCTAACACATGGGATAGCCTTCATGGCCTTCGTGGAGGAGAGGCGTCCCTTTTGCTGCTTCTCACAAGCTCTCTCTGAGGCAGGAGCACGATGCTTCTGCAATGATTTGCAGCGCTTGCCTTACCAGAACGGCGCCGGGCATCTCCCGGAAAAGACGGGCGCTTCGTCACCAGCTCCAAGGCGGAAATCTGGAAGAGGCGGGATTCGAGATGAGGATGTTGCAGGCAACACGAAAGCCGGACCGACGGACCGTGGGAGGCGATGGCCAAGCCGCCCAAGCCATGCCTGGCGGCCATGCTAATATTGCATCTTCAAGCTGGCCTCTCAGGTGCTGTGCAGGTAGGGGAAGACCTTGTAGTCCACGGGTTGCTTCAGATTGCCTTCCGCATCCTGGAAGTAGTGGCGGAAGCAGTGTGCGCATAAGTAGGTGGGATTCCGGGGACAGCGCGCCGCGCCATGTACCACCCAATATGCAAGGTTCTGGATGCACGCCTGACAAACATTGCGCTTGAAGACCCTCATAAAGGTCAGCAAGGGGTAGGCCTCCCTCAATGGGCAGTCGCTATTCCGTGCTGGCAAGCGCGCCACTGCGAAGTACACTGCATGCTCACAGTCACCCTGGTGGATGTAAGCGCACTTCTCGCCAAAGGGAATCCGGTCTAGATCGCACAGCCGCGTGGCCATAGACCGCGAGGATGTATCCTTCAATTCTTGGCAGCCTGTGAGCTGGATGTAGGGAATCAGTTCTTTTGAATAATCGACGGAGGATTCCCATCGACGGTCGCTGTAGAAGACACCGTCAATGAAGAAGCATGCAGAGTCCAGGCGTGTAGGGCCATCATACTTCCAATCCTCCACAAAATAAAAGGCGTCTCGCAGATCTTCCAAGCTTTGTGTCGACAGGATGTCGTACTCCTGCTCCTTGTTCCCCTCTGTGCTATAGACCGAAACAGTCAGGATCACTTCGGACTCGAGGCAAGCCATATCGGGAGGGATCTCAGGTGGGGCTGTGGATTCCCGCTCTACTTCTTTTCCAAGTGGCTCCGTCGAACCACTCGCCTCTTTCAGCAGTCTGTGCAGGATACGCTTATGTGGGCTTCCGTGCACTGAATTCGGGTGAATGCGGCAAGCCTTGGCCGACGTCAGTCGCCAGCCCTTTGTCGGTGCCGGGTCAACCAAGATGTCAGCAGTTTCTGCCCGGCACTGGTCCCAACGTTTGCGCACCACGTCGGCGTACGATGGGAGGCCAAGTGCTGCACGCATCTCAAGGCAACTCGCATCCTCCTGCTGTAGCACATCCATCGATTCTGCAAGCACCTTCTCTGCTTGCGCCTCTCTGGGCTCAAATTCCACCACCTGGCCCTCAGGCTCCCTTGTCTCCCTTGTCTCGCTTGTCTCCCTTCCCTCCTGGGCAGATGCATCCTCTGTTTGCTGCCCTTGCTCCGCCTCGGTGGCTTCTGGATCCCGCGCTCCATCCTGCAGATACCAAGGACTCCCTACGCATTTGCTTAGATTGGCAAGCCGACCTCTCCTACTGCTACTATGTGGACTACGTGGACTATGTGGACTTTGTGGACTAGTACTGTCTTGCAACTGAGGTTGCTTCTCAGGACCAAACAGAGCCAGAGATGGAAGACCCCCGTCCTCTGCCCCCTCCTTCTCGCCAGCCTCAAGGAGCGCATCGTCGGCGATGCTTTTGTCACACGCTTCACACTCTCCATCCTCCAGTAAAGCGTGTGACAAGCGCGGCCTCGAGTCAACTGGCACCTCGCTCGCCACCTCGCTCGCCACCTCGCTTTGCTTGACTCTCCGCCTCTTCCTTGCGTTCGGTTCCCGCGAGCATAGCTGATCCAACTTCCAGTCCTCGTCCGTGAAGCCCTCTTCGTGCAGCTGGTGAGTTATGGCGTCGCTGATCATAGATGACACTGTCGGCAACCACGTTCCCTCCGTTTCAACGTCCAGATCATCCCACACGTCCACCGCGGCCTCTGGAACTTCGGTCAGAACAGCCAGGAGCTCCTCGCATCGACTCTTCCAAGCTCGCAGGTCCTCGGTTGCCGGTGGAGACCGCAGCGGGTAGGACCTGGCCCAACCTGACCACTCCTTCTCGTTGCAGTGGATTTCGGGTGCGTGAGGCTCGTTCAGCACCTTGAACTTGCTGGTACGGACTTTGGTGTCGGGCTTTGGCTTCCACCTCTGCCCCACCAGCGTTGCCTCCCCCTCGTCACCCTCCGCACGCTCCACACAGTCCACGCGGCACTCATGATTCTCCTGGCTTTCTCCCACCTCGCCGACCTCGCCGACCTCGCCGACCTCGCCGACCTCGCCGACCTCGCCGACCTCGCCGACCTCGCCGACCTCGCCGACCTCCATGGCTGGATCACGGTAGTCTTAGCACGAGGGAGTTTGGAAATGGATGGCCAGTTGCTGCTTAGAGAACTGCATGGCGCATGAAGTGTCCCCCATGTCACGGTAGGAACGGCCAAGGAGCTGAGGCTCCAAAATCTGCGCTCTGAACATCGAGGATGCCATATGAAGTAGGGTTTATATTTCTTGTACTGCGGACTGGAGGTCGTGAATCATATCAAGGTGAGACAGCTTAGATTTGTTCTTGTACCCCCAAAAGGACACCCCATATATACACTCACCAATATTAAAAAGGAACCTTCTATACACTCACCAATAACATTAATATAAACCCTACTTCATATGATATGGGCTTGGGCACTTCCAGCATGCAAAGACCAACAAAGCGAGAAGCGCTATACTTCGAAAGGGTTGAGAGAAAATGCTCTTTGCAAAGCCTTTCAGAAAGTTTCTATACCCCTCAGTGCTCAAGCCCTAGCTGAGGGGAATTCCGAGCCACAAAAGTGTTCTTTTCCAGGGGCCAATCTACAAGGGCAAGGAAGCCGGAGGTTCTACAAGACTCTACTACAAGACACTGGTTCGGGCAAGTCGCACCCTAGCTCCGAACTTAACCACAGGTCAAGGGTAAACCAAGCCACAAGACCAGGGACCGAACCTGAGGCTTGAAAGAAATAGTGGCGCGTGCTTTGCATAAGCGGGGCTTTTGGGACCCACACTCTCTGTGTGTGGGTGTGTTCCCTTTTGCAAGGTGCAACACTAGTTTAAGTACATCAGAATACGCATCTGCTTGTGCTCATGAAGCTACTCGTCGCTCGAGGCTGTCACTGCTGTCAGAACCCGAAGCCGGAGAAGCCGGAAGGCATGGCCGAGCTTGGACGAACATTCCACCTCGACACCGTCAAACATTCAACGACGCATACAGAGCCAGCAAGCCCTGCATTTTCGAGCATAATCATCCGAAATTTCTGGCGTAGGCCAATTTCTTTCAAGTGAACCGCAGCTAACCCTCTTGCTACCTCCTTTTACCAGCATCGGCACGTCCGTACAACAAGCCCCAGCCTGGTTTTGTGCCAGCGAGGATCGAGTTTTCTGGTGCCCTCCGCTGTCTGGAGCGGCTTTGCCGAACGGGTCGGGAGCCGGGCGAGATGCATGCTGGCTTGGCCAGCGTGAGACGCGTTCTTCATCAAACGCTTTAGGACTTTCGGAATTGAAACTTGAGATTCTGCTTTGTTGGAACCCTCAGAGTATCAGTGGGATGATCCAACGGTGGTATTGCGAGCACACTACAGACACTAGATTCGTCTTGTCACGATGGCAAGCTTTGAAGAATCACAGGCTTCCATGCAGGACGCAGACGGGCTACCAGCTCAAAGGCGGGAGCCCTTCAAAAAGCAATCTGTTGGCCACAAAATGACAGAAGACAGAAGGACAGACAGTTTAGACAGAGAGACACACACACAAGTCACACAAGTCACACACAAACACTCAACGTGGGGACCTCGTAAAAAGCGGGAGCGCTCTGAACTCCCACCGAAAAGGGGAAGTCCAAGTCCAAGGCGCCGCAAGAAAATACAAGAAAACACACAAGAAGGGCTCTCGGCTCTCCGGAGAGTCCCCTCCTGAAAAGCCTTGACTCCTGGCCTGAGACATTGTCACTCGTCTAGGGGCCAGCTTTCGGGGGAGTCGCCGACGTGACCGCATTCCTCTGACTGAAGTGCCTGCCACGAAAAAGCGGCCAAAGAACTGCACACGCAGGCAACGATACTGTCAGCTTCAAAGTTGGGCAACAGCTTCATGGGCAGCCAAGGGACGTGATGAGCCGGTCCGTCACTAGCCAGGCTAGCACCACAACGATGGCCGTCAAGGTAAAGTACAAATCCTGTCTTTGCAGCAGCTCACCATGCCGTGACATGCATTGTGCATTGTGCCAAACCCTTTTGTCTCCCAAAACAGGGCCCAGGAGTCAAGCAGGTCAGTCTCTACTACTCTACTCTGGATCGAAGACAACACCCAGAGTTACCCACACTGTCATGCATATGCCGTGCATTGCCATTAGGGTGTGTTGAGTGTCGGCTTCCTGAAAGTCGCCGGAGCGAATGGCTACCGCGATGTACCTTGGATCTGACTGCGGACTCCCCATTGAATTTGTTTTAGAAGCACTGCCTCAGTGATGTCTGACGTTGTGTCCTGACTCCAGTTTCATGTAGTCCAAGATGCGGCGTCATTCCGGCCAATGCCGGCCCCGGGCAAACGCCCACGAGGCCCCAGCCTCACATGGACATGGACATGGCCGTTCCATGGGGGGTTGGATGGCTAGGATCTGTGACAAAACTGTGGCAGCACTCCTCTCTTGAGATGCTGGGTAGGTGCTTGCCAACTTGCTCTTTGTGAACAGGTTCAAGCTAGCTGTTGTTCTCGGTTCTGGGGTTTCTTGGGGGGCTTCGGCTCGAAGAGATTCAAAGGGCACTCCAACACAGCCGATGGCTCGGTGTGGCGGTGCGCTCAAGTCTTATTTGGACGACCTGCTCAAGTGCTGGGGCTGCCACCCAGGCCGAACATTGATGTGCCTTAGTACGTTTGGACTTCCGGGTACCCGAAGCACACAACCGGCAGCATAAACCCAACAGTGCCACCCTCCCTGTGCGAATGGCTTGCATTGGCATACACTGGCTTGCATTGGAGCCGACAGTAATCTCCGAACCGAGAATCATCGAAAATCCCTGGTTTACCGAGCCAAGTTGCCAATCAGCAATGGCACGTAATTGCCCTTCTTTGGGGGCTTCTCGAAAGAGCAGCCCTCACGGAGATGTGACGGCGAGCAGATGAACCATTACTTGCAGATGGTAACGGGTTCCGATTGCCGATTGCAGGTTTTCAATCTGCCCTGGGCGACATTTAGGCTGGCCTACCACCTCTTAAAGTGCGATGCCAGCAACCGTGAAACAGCCAACCCTTCAAGAAGTCGGAAAGCAAACTGCAAATGCTGCAAATGCTGACTGCAATTTGCGCACTGCTCTGTTCGACTTGCGACATGGAACCTCTTCCCCTGAGAGGGAATGTCCGCAACAAGGAACCCGCCTCGCAAAGGGGGTCCTTCCCGCTTCGCTCCTCGGCTGAGTTCCTAAGGCCAGTATGATACGGCCAGCAAGGCGAAAAGGCGAATGGAACGCCTTGCAAGTGAGGACCTGCTGCAGCTGTCATGGGCCATGGGGTCTCTGCGGAAGCCGAGGTGCCGCAATCAGGTACGCAGGGAAGCTCACCTCGACGGCACAAAGCTTGGGGCTCTCCACCCCAAGGGCAGAACCGGCACATTCAAGGCGGAATTCATTAGGGGGTGTGCATGGTGTGCTCGACACTTGACCCAATGTGGACCCAATGTGGGCCCAATGTTTTCTCCAGGGCCGGGTCACGCAAAGGCCACAGCCCATGACAAAGGCCAAAGAGGGATCCCAATAGCCTGCAAAGTCCAGGAAGTTCAACACCTGCCAAGAAGACAGAGAAAGAGAGAGAGAGAGAGAGAGCGAGAGAGCGAGAGAGAGAGAGAGAGAGAGCAACAAACAAGAAATAGCGAAGAGAAAAGACAGAGAGAGAGGCAGAGAGAGGGAGCAACAAACAAGAAATAGCGAAGAGAAAAGACAGAGAGAGAGGCAGAGAGAGGCAGAGAGAGGCAGAGAGAGAGGGAGAGAGAGATTGTTTTCGGAACAGGGCTGATGACTCGGGCCTTGGCTTGCGAAGTCATGCCGCTTGCACCAAGGCCCATGGCGAAGATGATGCCAGAGGACAGCGGCGAGACGAACCTCTTCTCCGCCGCTCGGGGGCTTCCATGTTGGAGGTTTGTGCAGGTTCATCTTTATGGAGGTTGGCGAGTAGGGTCAAGAGTTTTTCAAGCATCAGGATCGCTCGAGTGCATGTCGAGTGCGTCGCTAGAGCCATGCTTCCGTAGAGATGAGGCACCCACAACCACATTGAAGCAACCAAAGCCCACAGAAGAATTCGCATGACTCCTTGATACAGCGCGCGAACACCCCATGTGCAGCCAGGGAGCTTCCGCGGCGCTGGAGGCAGCAAGACGCTCAGTGCCACCAGGGCAAATGAGGAGAGCAGCGCGAAGACAGGAAACTCCCACCTTCAAGGGAAAGAAGTTCAAGCATTGGTTGTGGCATAGGTCAAGTTAGGCTGGAGAGCTTCCTATACCCTAATCGAGTCACTGGAGAACAGCGACGAAGCCCCAGTGCTTGCTCATCGCAAGACTGGGCTGGAGAGCAGGAGCTTGCAGGAATCATGACTTGTCCAAGCTGCTTCGGCGGCCACTGGGTCGGTGCGATCTGTGAGGTGTACCTGGAAAGGACCACGGTTGAAGAGAAAGCTGCGTGCGGGTGTGCGTGTTTGTGCTGGCAGGGCAAATGTCGCTCTTCGATCAACATGTGCACAACATGCCCCCGACTGCAAGCTGCACAGTGCTCATTGTGACCATGCTCTCAAAGCCATCCATTGCACATAAATTGCCCGAGATGCTGCACGTTGTACGGCTTGATCGCATGGCGCATCACCTTGTGGAATGATCACCGTGAGGTTGCCACCAGCGAGTGGCCGCTGTGTGACAGTGTGTGACAGCGTGTGACCGTGTGTGACAGTGTGTGACAGTGTGTGACAGTGTGTGACAGTGTGTAATTACATTTGATTGTCCCTGCGTCCGGGAGGGAAGCCAGCGCCACAGCAGCAGACACAATCAAAATGCTCGAACCTACCCAACCCAGCCGTAAATGGTATAAAACGCAAGCCAACGCTTCCGAGGTGCGAGGACGGTGACAGCTGCCACTGCCATGAAGGTCGGCACTGCGATCCTCGGTAAGTCTGTAGCACACGAACCTCTGAGTGCAAACAAAATGAGACAGCCAAAAGCAAGGTGCACCCCGTGGGGAAACCTGGAGTACAGGAAAGAATCGCGAGCATGTTACTATGGTGCCCCGCTCATTGTGGTGCAGAGCTACGGATCATCCAAACCATTGGCTTCTGACATCGTCTGAAGCCCTCCCAAGAACCGAGAGCCCAGCCCCTGAACCTGAACCTGCACTGAACTTCGAGAGGCTTCCAAAGACTGATCCCCAAAAAAAAAAAGTAAAACGTCAAGCAGGGCGAAGCAGGCGGCCAGCTCCGAAGCGCGAGCCGCGGCAGGCCACAAATGCCGTGCCCCGAGGTGCAGCCCTGGGCGTCAAAAAAAAGAACCCTTGTGAAGACGAACAATTCGTAAAACTCTGAAAGCGAAGCGGTCTGCTTAGCCACCCGTCTCATGCGTTTTGAATGTGCGGCTCTTTGTTTTCTTGCAACGCTTTGCTTCAAGTTCGGTGGTCAGATTGCGCTATCTGCGCGTTCTTGTGGTGGCCTTTCGATTTCAGTCCGGCACTTGAACTTGTATGTTAATCGACGGTACATGAGGCCGGGGCCTTGCCAGTCCGTGTGCCGATGCCCACGAAGATTCCTTGAGGCACACACACAAACAGAGACAGAAACACCTGCCTCTCCCTCCTCTCTCCCTCCTCTCTCCCTCTCCCCTCCTCTCTCCATCCTGTCTCCCTCCCTCCTGTCTCCCTCCTGTCTCCAGAAAGGGAAGGAGACAGAGACAGAGAAAGGGAAAGGGGAAGGGGAAGAGGACGGAGAGCGGACGGAGAGAGGGGGGAGGGAGAGGAGCGAGAGGAGAGGGAGAGGGGAGAAAGAGAGGAGGGAGCTGCAAGCATCCTCTCTCTCTGTCTATCTGTCTTGTCTTCTTCTGCACCGAGTGAAACTTCGGGTGCCACCAAGAGAAGGGGGACAATTGCCCCGGTAAGTTGTTCCAACTCCAAGACACCACCCAGAACCCGTTTGATAGTTTCCGGCGAGGCTCGGCCGGAAAACAGCCTCTATCTCATGTTGAAGTGAAAACGTTCCGCGCTGAACTGGACTCTGCATTTTGAGGATCATACAGTGCCTTCGTCCTCCTCATGAGGTTTTTGGTGGCTACTACAACTTTTCCGCTTCTCCCAACAAGACGAACTCCCAAGTCACCTAGGAGCACCCGGGACCCTCAGAGGAGAAGGGGATCGCGTCACTGCCTGGTTTTTGTTTGCTTTTTCTTTCTTTGGGGCGAACCCCGCGCTACTGCGCTGTCACGCAGCTTGAACTCTCTCTCTCTCTCTCCACACGCTTGGCCCCCCAGAGGGGAGCCGCCCCGAAGGGCGCGAGAGTCCCATGTCTTGCGTCTGTTGAACTCTCTCTCTCTCTCTCTTTTCCTTCCTTCCTTCCTTCCTTTCTTTCTGTCTTTCTTTCCTTCTTTCTTTCTCTTGGGGGGATGAGGTCGGGGGGTTCCGCTCTCTTCTTCTTCTTCTACCCAGCGAAGGTGCCCCTCTGAGGGGGAGACACCGGCCCCGCTGCTTCGTCCATGGTCCCAAGGTGTGTTCCGCTCTCTCTCTCTCTCTCTCTCACTGAGTCTGCAGGGTGTTGTGAAGGCCTGTGTTTGTGGAGACCTCTCTCTCTCCCTTCCCAACCCCTCCCTTCCGAAACCCCTCTGCGCCTCCAAGGAGATACTGGACGATGTTAAGATCGGGCGCCTCGACTGGCGGCAGAACAGTCAAGCTCGACAACCTACAAGCTCGCGAGTTTTTCTTTGACCGCCAGCCGGCATCATTCCTGTACCATTCCTGCTCACTCCTCAGCCGCTGCTTTCAGAGTCAGGGCGCGGGTGGAAAAGAGAAATCCCAGTTCGCAGCCAGCGCAATCCTTACATTGGACGTGCACCGCATCACATCTGCGAGCCGAGCTTTGTTGAATGCTCACAAAACTGCCAAACCTACCAGGAGCCCAGCCCCAGTCTTAGTCGGAGGGGCTCCAGGCTGCAGGTTGCAAGTGGCGCCAGAGATGCCCGGACTTGTGCTCAAAACGACCCCGCTTGGCTCGACATTTAAGAGCCAAAGGCTCCAGCCGCCCAGGAAGAGGCCGGTCAGGAACAAGAGTTTCCACAGGTGGCTGTCCTACGCTGCCCGAGCTGAGATCGGATCGTCTTGACTACTCGGGGGCATGCTGAGAGAATGATCACAACAAATTGCACAACAGATTGCAAAACAGATTGCAACACAGATTGCAACACATTGCAGCATGGCCAGGTGTTGGGGGATGTTTGCTTTGTCTGGGGATATCCGTGGCACCTACGTCACACAAGGTGAGGATCGGAAGGGTTTCGGGAGCATAGCCGAGCGCGATGCTAAGGTTTTACTGGTTTTCAGCCATGGCCATGGCAAAGCTCTGGCTCCCTTTGAAGTCAGGCTCCCAATTATTGGTCTGAAACTTTGCTTCTATTGAATTGAGTCCGAACACAAAAGAGGACGTGCCATTGAAGTCTTCAGGCTCCACACGCTGACAAGTTGAATAGTTGTGCAGCGTTGCGAAAAGCAACATTCTCCCAATCTCTCTGTGTCAGGTGCACAGTTTCGGACAAGTTGTTAAACCAGCCTGCCCCTTCTGAGATGGATTCATATGCGGTATCCATGGAAAACATAACACGTTCAGGCCCCATCACAGACAATGCATGCTGAAACCCCGGAGTGTCGAACATGCCACTGGTGGTGATATGAAAGTTGTTCTTCAAATACCAAGTGACGTTGTGCTTGCGCTTGTACAAGCCATTCTCTGGACACGGGCCCAGTTTCATGCCAGGTCCTGTATGGCACGACACTGACTCTGGGGTCCAGCCCTGCTTCCTAAGGCGGTGATCAATGCGCCATGCCATCCAAACCAAAATCTCTCCATCGTGACCGATGATGAACTTCAGATTTGGAAACTTGTCGAAGAAGCCGGAGAGAAGGAAGCGGAGAACATGCTCCGCGGTCTCGACATGAAAGCCCCATGGTGACACGCGCATCTCTGGAAATTGTGTTAAAAACCCTTTCGACTCCGCCTCACGAGGATGCAAGTAGACGGGCTTGCCGGATTTCTCGACAAAGGCCCAGAATGGATCATACTCCTTGGTGATGTGGTAGTTGAAATCACCGCCTGTGTTTGACGTGTCATAGCCGTTGTCAAAGCTCCGAGCGACCCTAGCTTCAAGCAGTCTGCAAATTGTGAGATTGATGCCTGTGGATCCCACAGTGAGAAGGATGCAAAATCCTCCAAGGTGAGGTTTGCCTGAGGCATCGTTGGCTGCACGGATTTGTTTGAAGAACTTCCTGTTCCATTGCTTGAACTTAGTAGTGGATGTACCGTTGGAGACATCTTTCCTGTCTTGGGTACTACCGGTTATCGACAGGATCATGAAGTCAACTCCGTGATTTTGTGCGACTCTGACCCGGGTCTCGGCAATTCGCCCATCTGCCAAGTCTTCCAAGTCTTCCTTGTTTTGCCACCACTCTACTGGCGGCTCTCCATTGGAGTATTTCCAGACGCGCTTGAAACCGACATGTTCCTCCAGGGTGATCTTACAAATCGACGAGATGACTCACTAGAACTGCCTTGACTGAGAGCAAGTTAAGATCCTCCCTTTCGGGTGAGAAGGTTGAGATTGTGAGCATCGCTTGAATCATCACCAGCGCTCCAACATGAGATGCCACGGCCATGGCACGGAACAAAGTGAAATCACTTTTGGAGCACAAGATCAGAAGTATTCAGTCGCTCACGCTCGGACGCGCGCTTGAGAAGCCAAACTCGAGCCTCAGTTCTGCGAATCTCTTTGCAACATGCAAATAGGTGCCCACATTGCAAGACATTCGTTTGATGATCAAGATGAAGACCCCGATGCGATCCAGACCAGAGAAAGATGGGCGATGGGAGAACCGTAGAAAGAATGAGCAGGACACCGAGCAATTCACAGCCAGACAGCATCAACATGACTTGTGTAGCATAGCCATCGCGCTCGTACAGCGAAAGCCACGGGGGCCACGTGGCCCCACCTTCAGAGCTCATAACATGCCAAAATAAACCGAGTCTCCAATCCAAGCCCACTTCAGGACCACAAGAAAAGAAAGACTCGGAACACTCTCATGCCTCACATGGCATGTCCTTCACGGGCTCGCACTTCGTGACTCCCCGTAGAAACGGTCCAACAATTCCAGAGATGCCGGTGATCTTGCCATCGATGAGGTAAGCCATCGCTGCAGACCTCAGAGCGCTAAAGAAACCTTTTAAGGACCTTTTCGGGCTGAAAGCACCAAGCACCTTGGCGTACGAGAGCTCAAAAAGCCAAGAGGCATGCCAACCATGAGGCCTCCCACACCTGTGCAATTCAAACCCTCGTTGCCGAGGAAACGGAGGACCTCGAAAGACCTTTTTTCAGACCTTTCCCTCGCTTTTCGGGAAAGCGGGTTGGAATCCCAGCCTGACTCCACGGGTGTGAAGAGGGTGAGCTCGTTCCATGGGATGGCCGCCATGCTTCTAACAAGCGACAGGACCGTTTCAAGTCTGACCTCAACGTGGCCACGAAAAGTGTCGCGAAATGGAGACTGCGAACGCTCCAGAGTTTCCAAGCTGAACGAGCAACCCCAAACTCTCGAGTGCCCCTTGAAGCGACTTCTTATAGCATAGCAGTTCCATCGATTGTCCCCGGCTCTCTGACGATTCAATGGCAGCACGTGGACACCTGTTTTCCTCCCACGCCAGCAAAACGAAGTCACGGCTCCTGGAATACCTCAGCCGGGCAGAGGAGTTTCGGCCTCGAGTCTTGGGCTGGCATCCGATGCCTGTGCATGAGGAATCATGGGTTGGGCTGTTTTAAGATGTTGGGGTCCCACTTTGGTGCGGCGGAGCTCCAAAGTGGGAAGGCTTCGTTTCCAGTACCAAGCTACGTGCTTCATGACGTCGCCTGCTAGGCGCTCATGCGCACCCCCAAAGTGTTGGGGCTCCGTGAAGTTGGGTTTTGATCGTTCGAACCTTTCCCCCAAGGCACTGTCGACACCACGTGTGGGGTCGAGGCGGCAGGGTTTGCATGAGGAATGCAAGTTTCGAAACCGCACCCCTTGAGCCCCCACCCCCACCCCCCCCCCCCCCCCCCCCCCCCCACCCCCCCCCCCCCCCCCGCCCCACCCCCTCCTCCCCCCCCCCCCCCCCCGCAGGAAACTACTTCTCCAAACCCCTACAATCCTACAAAACGGACAGCACGTGCCTCGAGCCGGCCGCTGCAGTCAACCACAGCCAGGAGACCCGGTGCCATGGCAACGGATGCCTTGCCCCAAGCTACGAAGTTGGGATGAAGATGGCTTTGGGTTTGCCAGGGTTGTCCCGGTGCGAATGTCTTGCAAGGTCTTTTTAGAACGTGCCAAAAAGTAGGCAGTTCCTGAATAATTCCAGAACGAGAGGGGCGCTGTCAGAACAAGAATGCATCAGCAAATGAGAAGAGTTACTTGCAGTAAGCAACTACTGCAAGGCTCAGAAGATAGACCCTAAAGTTTCTAAAGGTCTCAGACATTGTCACATGCATATTGATCATGGGCCTACGCAAGCACACCAAGGCCCTCCGAATGCAAAACTTCGCAAACCCACCCAAAAACCTCAGCACGCGCCTGGAAGGCCGCGCCGACCAAGTGCTCCTCTCCCCGCACTTCGGCCCCCACTTTGGCCCCACTTCCCGAACTGTTAACGGTTTTTGCGGCTCTTTGAAGGGCTGGGGTGAACTTTCAGGAGTGGCCTGTTTGGGGGGGGGGGTCGTGCGGGTAGGTGCCCCCCCCCATACCTTTACCTTCTTGCAAGCCTGCCTTGACCTCCTCGGGCGAGATCGTGCCGTCACCGTTCCTTTGCCAGCGCAGCGACTGGGATGTGGCTGATGCCCACACATCCCGAACCCTTCCAAGCCACGGCCACACCCCTATAGCTCGGCAAAGTAACTCGTCCCGCACAGCGTAGACTTTCCCGTCCTGGAACCCCACCTTCGTTGCGCTGAGGCTTTGAGGACAACAGGCAGCAAAGGCAGCTACTGTCAGCGCTAAGGACCCTAAGGCTTTTCTGGGACTTGAGTTTGGCACTCTCAACTTCACAACAACTTTGCTTCGCAATTGCATGTAAAACTTCATGCGCGTCGCCCGCCACAAGAACGACTCCCGCAAGACAAGCCCGCTTTGAACTCTGACCCGAACTCTAGCGCCTTCTGACCCTTCTTCTGGCCAAGAAGCATAGGCAGTGCCTGCTCCATCAATGACAGGCTGCGCGTTGGCATCAGGCAAGCACCACTTGGCAGATTCAGGGGATGGACACGTCAGGGCTCAGAAGTAGCTCGGGAGTCACGCTATGAACATCAACAGAGGGCAATCTTCGAAGCTGAGGGGTTCTGTACTTTCTGCGGCTAACAGACGCAAGCTCCTTTTGCAGGCACGGAGCGGGCTCATTGTTGGGATTCGAACCATTGAACATCGCCTGCAGAGCACGGGCAGTGACAAAGCTCAAAAACGGGGCTCGGATACGTTTTAGCCCTTCCTGAAAAACCTTGGAGACAAACCGGACAATTTCTTCACATACCCGACACCATGAGACATTGGCGAACGTCCTGTGCCCATTGGATGGCCTGGAAGCGCTCAATGAATCTTTCCTGGGCGTCCCCAGAGGCTGCTCTGAAGCTTCCACCCGCCCTCCCCCACGCCAAAAAATCCCCCCCCCCCCCCACCGATCATCTAATCCATGTCAGCGAACAAGCTTGGGCCAAAAGGTCAAAGTGGAAAGTTGTTTGGGGGGGAGGGGTCTGTTTCTTTGGGTTCACTAGGAAAGGCTCTAATTTCCCTACAGCCTAATAGGGAAAGCCCTTCTCTCTCGTCTATTCCGATGCAAGCTTCAATTCTCTCTACATTCGCCTTGGCCCTTTTCCTTTTGTGGGGGCCCCCTTCTGGGACGTTATGGCTCGAGGTATTAAGCAAAGAAAGTTCGTGCGCAGGCCCACCCGCTCAGCCCTTCTGCAGACACAATGCTCGTGTATCCCCTTCTGTTCTGCATTGTCCGTCTCTTGCAAAGACAATGCTCGCATGATGGGTGTGGAAGGGGCTTCATCCATAGCGCGTCCCAATTCACAAGCAACAAAGGGCATTTGCAAACGCAATGTTCGCGCGATGGTTTCTGAAAGAGTTTGAATGGGTGCTGAAGGAATGTCCGTTGATGGCAGAAGCAAATTTTGCATGGCTGAGAAGCGCGGAGGGGGGCATTTGCAAACACCATGCTCGTATGATGTCTGTGGAAAATTCATATGCGTTTTGAAGGAATGCTCATTCAGGGCACGGCGTTCTTTGAAGAGAGGTTGCTCGTACAAAAGGAGTTTCGGGAGGAGGGAGGGGCTCCCCGGCTCCCCCTCCATTTGCAAACATAACGGCGTATGATGGTTTGGCACGAACCTCGCACTTGGCTTGGTTGGCTTGGGGTCGAACCAAATTTGAGGTTGGCTTGACACCGCTTTCAGCCCCAAGTCTACTTCGAGCTTCGTGAGGGCTGCCGACCCGCACTGCTTTTCGGCGCCAAGCCAACCTCAAATTTGGTGCGGGCGGCTCGCCCGCACAGCTTTCGACCCCCAAACCAACATCAAATTATGTCTTGACTGCCAGGCCTCCTGGCCTGTAGGTCCCCTGGTCTGCTTTTCTCTGATTTTCCATGCACTGATGACCCGAACAAAATCGAGTCCCCCGAACACCTTGAGCTGCCTTCCGGGCCGCAGAGTCCCCGGCAGCGGCAGGGCGGTGGTAGGGCTCCATCTCGTAGTACCTGTGGTGAAGGAGTGCTCCAAAGAGGAAGAAGCCCTGAAGCCACAAACTACTGGGCCGGGGTTAGACACGGTTAGACGGTCAGATAGTCTGTAAGGTCAGGGGCGGAACAAAGTGGCTGGACATGTGCCTAGACTAAACGCCAGCACTGAGCGCTTCACCTCCTGCACACTCTGAACAGACCGACTCAAGGGATTTACACGTTATTTGTCTGAGGATACTGAGTTTTTTGCCTTGGGGGAGTTTGGTCTCGACCAGCACACGTAAATTGAGATTGGGCCAAGATGCCAGAGCACCTTCCCTGTTGCCGCGTCGAGGGCCACGATCCTGGAAGCAGAGTCCGAGCAGAAACCCGACAAAAAATGGCATTTTGAGACCTTCGGAGGCCAACCCGCAGCCTTTAAGAGCCCCTCCCTCCCCCTCGCCTAATTGAAAGCGTAGAAGACACCCACAGAACGGAAAGCACCCGCAACATTCTCCCGGGGTCTCTCTCTCTCTCTCTCTCTCTCTCTTTTGCTCTCTCTTTCTTTCTGCGCACTTCACCCCTCTTAGGGGGAGGGGCCTCTCTCGCTCTCATTCTCACTCTCTCCCCGCTCTCCCTCTCTCTGTCTCCTTCTTCTTCTTCTACTTCGATTCCTTCTACTTCTTCTACCTCTACTTCTACCTCTACCTCTACCTTAACCTCTACTTCTTTAGTTACTCTTCTTCTTCGTCTTCTTCTTCGTCTTCTTCTTATCATTCTTCTTCTTCTTCTTCTTCTTCTTCTTCTTCTTCTTCTTCTTCTTCTTCTTCTTCTTCTTCTTCTTATCATTATTCTTCTTCTTCTTCTTCTTCTTCTTCTTCTTCTTCTTCTTCTTCTTCTTCTTCTTCTTCTTCTTCTTCTTCTTCTTCTTCTTCTTCTTCTTCTTCTTCTTCTTCTTCTTCCTCCTGCTTCTCGCTGGCTCTCTCGCTCTCTGGCTCCCCCTGCGGCGCAGGCGCGAACGGCCCTGCTTGCTGGAGAAGAGGGAAGGGAACGACAGGCTGAGCAAGTGGAAGGGCAAGAAGAGCGGGGCCACCTGAACCTCGGAAGTGACAAGGGCCCCCCCCCCCCTTCTTGTGTGAGCCAAGGCCCATGACAAATAATTACCTAATTACAGTAGCTCTCAAGGCACCTCCTCCCCCGCTGTTAAGTGAAGCCCAGCCGCGCCGAAGTAGGGAGTCGCCAGGGCCATCTTCACCATGGTGGGCAGTCCCGGGTTCCTCTGGGGCTTGGGGATGCCCCGGCCCCCTCCGACCTCTACTTAGCTACCTGTGCCCCTCTCACACTCGGCCCGGAACCTGAATGTAGGCAGAGACGCTCAAACATCATCCACAACTCCATGCGACACCCCTTGACCCCCGCAATCCGAGACCCTCGGTCTTGCCCATGCCGAGGATGAGGGCAGTTCCAGGGTGGCCGGCCACTTTGCCCACCTCAATGGAACTCCAAATTCGGGTCATGGCTACGTATCTGGAGCCCTCTCCTCAGGGATTGGGTAGACGCTTCAAAGGCCAACTCGGGAACCCAGCCCGTTGTCAGGAACATGCGCAAAAAAACATGCCCCACCACAAGAAAAAACAAAAACACGCTGCAGAAGCTGTGGCCGCGGTGCTGCTACGGCCTGGTTGCCCTCGTAAGGGAGGTCCTGCGGTCCAGTGCTTTGGCAGACAAGAAGCTTCAGGGTTCAGGATCCTTCGCGCACCTCCCAAGAAGCCACGGCTCGAACATGTCTTGGGGTTCAGGGCTGCTACGAGGTCCACCCAAATGCGTTGTTGGAGCCTTGCGAGGTGGTTGCGTTCAAGCACTGTTGGGGGGTGCCACAGCCTCAAGTTCCGGAGGCCTCTCACACTCCAAACCCTGCAACAACACCTCCCCACGGGGCGCACCTGCGTCCAAAGGTGCTGGCCATCTTCATAGCCATACCTTTGCTTGTGTATGTCAGGCTTTGCGTAGTACAACCCGGGTCCCTCAACCCCTCACTTTCATCAATCATCTGCAACAAAGTATTTCAGTGCCGCCTGGAAGCTTCGGCTGGCACTAGACAAACATCGATGTTGCCCCAACACGCAGGCACGCCATCAATGGAATTCTTGCTGCGGTCTAATTTGCTGGTAGGATCCTTTTGTTGCTTGCACTCTGGGAGGCTCCAATATAAGTCCAGCCAAGAAGCACGTGGAGGAGCCCTGGCACGGGAAAATTGGCAGATCCAGAAAGCGCGCTCTCGGCACTCGACACCTGTTCGCCCTTATGCCCCTCTGCTATGCTTCGGCTCCCCGCCTCGGCCCTCTCTGCCATCCATCTGGGGGCCGCCACCCACGTTGCTGACCTTGGCTCAGGGCGGGGTCTGGCTCTGAAGCTTCATGGATTCACGGAGCTCCTTTGTCTACTTCTTGTCCATTCTTCTCTGGGCTTGGGCTTGCCATGACAGCTGTTCTGAAGTGTAACATGGTACCCCCCCCCCTCAACGAGGTTCAGGTGAGGGACGTGCATTCCAGCGTCGGCTTCGTTGTCTTGCAGCGAACTACGGACAGCTTCGTTAAATGGATCTGGAAACAGAAGCTGCTTCGGCACAACACGAATGCACAAGCCGAGGTGCAGCACAGATTTCAGCGTGTACCCAGTACCGTAGATGTCAAGATCGTCTTGCGATTCAGGGTTCGCTGCTGAGCCTTCAAAGGGTCTTGCAGACGTGTTGAGTCAACGTTGCAGTCCAGGAACGGCGAACACGCGGCCATCGTGAATCACAGCGGCTGCTGTTGTGCCAGACTCTCTGTCAAGCCTGACATGTGCAGACGAATTTCAGACTGCTCCATTCGCACACTGGCTAAAGAATGCATGAAGCAGGAATTCAATGTCCAGGTTCGGGACATGAATGCGAATGCCATGAATTTTTGTGGATGTTCTGGAGGCCGGCACTCAGGGATGGATTCTCTAAAAATTGGGAACTCCAGAATTGCTCTGCAAAATTCATCAGCATTCTCTGGGCGTGAGCACTCCAGGGTTCTCTGAGCGGCCAGGCGAGAAGAACAGCTCAGTGAAAGCTCCAACCCCATGCCGAGGGCGGGGAAGCACAACAGCAAGAGTCATTCCTTCTGGGACGCCGGGCGTAGGGGAGTACCAAATAAGGCGACCAGCAGTGGAGACGCGATAGACCCCACCTGTCATGTCCTGCCAGTCAAACACAGGCTGCAGTGGAGAACTTTGAACGGCAAGTGGCAAACACACAACACGCTCCACATGTTCTATGTGTAGCGCAAGTGCTGGTGACCGCCAGGCTTTGGGTAAAAGAAGTAGCGGCACAAGAGCTGTGTACAAAGGACCCCAAGTCCATGCCGGGACCGTGGCTTGGGCTTTCTTTTTCACGCTTCCTCGATATGTCCTGAAACACGAAGGTGCCATCGTCGATCCTTACAGGAGGGCATGTGAGGGCAGCTGTTGGACATGTGACATAGGAGCTGTTACGCATCAAGCTGCGAAGAATAAGCTGGATGGCCGTGTTCGCACCCAAATACCTGCCGCCTTTCCACGAAACATAGCAAGCAAATTCTTTCGAGCAGACCACTCTAAAATCATGCAAACCATACCTAGATGCACAGGTTTGAGATACGCTGCTCGGTTCAGATGCAATTATACGTACCAGTAGCAGGCTTTGGGCTTCCGCAACTAGCAATGACAGCAGAGCCATGGTAGCACTGATACCTATCCCTTTTGGTTCAAGTTGGGCTGAGATGGTCAATGCGACACATTGCGACACTTGCGTGGCACTACCAGAAAGGGAGGAAGCAGCACTGCACGCTGCGATGCGACAAGCAGCAGCATGACGTGGACACTTTGGAAGATCCTCTCTGCTGCCAAAAATCGTGGAGCCCTGGAAATTGTAGGTCCTCTGGTTCGGGGCGAAGGACCACTGGAAAGATCCATCCTCCCTGGGCTTGGGCAGGCTGGGGTGACCCCGAACAAAATCAAACTAAAGCATTCAAGCAATCAGCGAGTCTGCAGCTTCTGAGAAGCGACTCCATTTGACACACACATCAGCGTGCAAATGGCAGTACTGGCCGAGTCAACCAACTGAGACCAACTGAGGCGTGCACACGCTCAATGCCTTGAGGCGGTTGTTGCTAGCCTTGGTTGTATGCACAAACCTTGCGGAGCCCTGCTTATGGTGGCTCCCCCCCGCCTTGGCTGTCCTGGGACTTCCTGAACTTGCTGATCCTTCCTGCCTATGACTTCTCCTTGCAATTGGCCATTGTATATATTGTATATATTGTATATATTGTATATATTGTATATATTGTATATATTGTATATATTGTATATATTGTATATATTGTATATATTGTATATAATGTGGGGGGAAGGGGAAGGGACAGGCGAAACCTTTACTCCCGGCCAAATGCGCTTTTGGAAGTTCGGGGCGAAACTCAATTTTTTGTCAGCACGCGGCAAATTGCCCGCAGAGGGTGCCGAATGTGTGGCTGGAAGCCGGGAACATGCATCTAGCAACGCGCCGCAAACCGGCCACACAAAATCTATGAGGAAAACCCGCCGCACAACCTGATTTTGAACCCATCCCGGCATTACCCACCCCGGGACGACCCGCACGGGCGACCCGGACGGGCGACCCGGACGGGCGACCCGGACGGGCGACCCAGGGCAGACCCAGGGCACACCCAAAAAGCCCGCCCCAATCTGCCAGACTGGACTGCAGACCTGCTCACGTTGTTGGGGAACCTAAGCAAACTGCACTTTGACTTCTGGCGCGGCCACGTCCAACTTTGCAATCTTGCCTGGGCCTAGACATGTCGTTTACAAAAGTCAGAGCAAAAACTTCCAGTTGAAGACGTGCGACAGTGAGCAGAGCGTGCGGATCTATCACGCCTTTCAGCGGCACCTGGCGTTCAAGCTCTTCGATGCTGTTCAGAGGCTCGTCGAAAGTGCATAGTGCAGAGGGATGCAAAGGCAAAAGCTTGGTGAGGGTGTGACATCCGCATTAAAACCCTCCTTTATCCCAGAGGCAACCTATGGCAACCTGCTATGCAAGCGGAACAAACAGACCTCTCTTTGCTGCTTGCATCATTCAGTACCGTGAACTGTCAAAAGCGCACACGCACATGCACGTGCAAAAACGCGTACTCATATGCGCCAAACAAACAAACAAAAAGAACAAAAAGAACAAAAAGAACAAAACAAACAAACAAACAAACAAACAAACAAACAAACAAACAAACAAACAAACAAACAAACAAACAAACAAACAAACAAACAAAGCAAACAAACACACAAACAAACAAACAAACAAACAAACAAACAAACAAACAAACAAACACACAAACAAACAAACAAACAAACAAACAAACAAACAAACAAACAAACAAACAAACAAGCAAGCAAGCAAGCAAGCAAGCAAATGCACACACACACACACACACACACCCACCCACCCACACACACACACACACTCACACTTTGGACTCGACTTCTGTCGAACTGCAAGCTCCAACTTCTTCTAAAGGTCTGGCAAGCTTCTGGATCTGCAATGGAAATCTCTACTTATTTTGAAATGGCCAAGGATGCAGCAACAGCTTTGAGGGTGTTTTTGGGATGGCCTGCAGGTACACAGTTCAGCGTCCTGAACTGTTTCCCACTCCAAGGCATAGCTTCGCTGCACTGGGTTTGCCAAGGAGTGCCCAATGCCCCTGCGAACTTCACTGCAGAAAGTTAAGTGCAAAACAGATGCCCTTTGGTACAGGGCTTGACACACACACACACCCCTCCTTGCGTTGGAGGGGAGTTTTTCGGGTTTTTTTAGGGGCATAAGAAAGTCGACTGAGAGGGAAACCTCAACCTGGGGACAGTAGAGCCTCGGAATTACGTGGACTGCTTACAACGCTCGCACTCAAGACGCTGACGAGGAAACCTCAACTTGGGGACACTAGAGCCTCGGAATTACGGGGACTGCCTACAGTGAGCAAGCGAAAGAGCAGTCCACTGCCCATTGAGTCGTCTGAGATTTCCTTAGTGCGGCTGCCGGGATCGTCTTTCCGACCCTCATCGGCCTCAGCTGGATCCGTCTTCCGGATCATGTGAGAATTCCTTCGTGTGAATGCCGGAATCATCATTCCGGCCTTGAGAGTCCTTAGTTGGTTCCTTGGTCCATCATTGGCTCCACCAGTTGTGGATATAGCAAGCACAACCCCTGCTGTATAAAGAACAAAGCCGACAAGGGGAAACTTGAACCTGGGGACACTAGAGCCTCGGAATTACAGGGACTGCCTACTTCGTCCGAAGCGAAACAAGAACCAGACCGCAGGTACTGCGTTGCACTCTTTGGGCGGACTCCTGGAGGATCCATGATCAGCGTCAAGCAATTTGCACTCTGTGGGTGGAGCCGTGGGGGATCCATGATAAAGTCAAGCAATCGTGGAGCTGATTACGCAAAGTCACGTGAACTGTCTGGAAG